GTGTATAAGAACACTTGGCTTGTATCTTTTTTTTTTTTTTCCCTTGAGACAGAGTCTCGCTGTGTTGCCCAGGCTGGAGCGCAGTGGCACGATCTTGGCTCACTGCAACCTCCACCTCCTGGGTTCAAGCAATTCTCCTGCCTCAGCCTCCAGAGCAACTGGTATTACAGGCGTGTGCTACCACACCTGGATGATTTTGTATTTTTAGTAGAGACAGGGTTTCACGGTGTTGACCAGGCTGCTCTCAAACTCCTGACCTCAAGTGATCCACCTGCCTCAGCCTCCCAAAGTGCTGGGATTACAGGCACGAGCCACCGCACCCAGTCTTGTATTTTTAATAACAGATGGCAATTTTTTATATTTAGACACACTTCCCTGTCTCCTGGAGCCGTCCTTTAGGGCTATTCACTTGCTAAAGCCAAGAAAAGCAGTATATTGTGTCATGGTGATAACTTTTCTGGAACTCCCAATTTTATGTAAGACACGTGGAAAACAAAGTCTTTCAAACTGACTACACGTGAATCCCAAGTAACTCGACTTACTCAAGCCCAGATCCTTCTGTATGGTTTCTTCCCTCAAAGCCAGATGTTTTTTATTCCAGAAGCAAAGTAAAAATGAACTTCATGGAAAATTCTAATAAATGTAAGAACAAAACATATAAGTGAATTAAGGAAAGAGAAAATGTGGAAATTTTTTTCTAGGAGTTTGCCTTGGGGCAGGGGGAAAGTTTTTATTAAACTAGTATAACTTTGCAATACGAGGAAATGGTTTTATGTTGGAGATTACCTTTATAGATGCAAAGCCTAAGAATGAGTGAGTGAACCTTTTATGTAGCCCATCCCACGTTGTTTTAGTTTATGGTTTTAAGTGGAGGTGAAATCTGCTAGGCTGCTGTCTATATTCTCTGCTCTAGTTTGGGCTCCAGGAAGCTGAGAAATGTGTATGCCTTCACACCCTGAGATGCCCACCTATGAGGGCTTGGACTCAGTCAAGCAAATATTTACCGAGTTGCTGTATCTCTGTTTTCACCCACTGATTTCCCAGCCGTAAGATCATCTGTTGAAGTGGGAGCATAATTTCCCGCATTTATTGGATTGTTCCTCTGCCCCGTTGACTTATCCTCTCTAATATCCACACCCACAGACCCCCCAGGTGGACTGGACATCACTGTTCTCTTGAACATCTCAACACCTCAAATCCAGCATGTCCATGTTGAACTTCATCATCTCTCCTAATAATCCTGCTTCTCCTCTAACACCCCCAGCTTCCTAAAACCCAAACTAGATCCTGGCGTCTTCCCGCCTCCTCTCTTTCCATCGTCTCCTTCTCACAGCCACAAGGCACTGTCCATTCCAGCTCTGAGACGTGTCTCCCCCGTCCTGCTCCTTTGTTCCCTGGTGCAGCCCGCCACCATCACTCGCCTGCATATTGCCTTCTCACCATGTCAGGTCTTGCTCCCCTCAATTCATGCTCTGTGCTGCAGCCACTGTGCTCTTTCTAAAACCGAGGGGTGATTGTGCCACTTGTCTACTGAAACCCTTAAGTGGCTCTCTGCCTCAGGATAAGGACAAATCACAAGGCCTTTCCTAATCACAGCCCTCCAGCTTCACCTCTTCCCACGCCTTACTCTGGGAGTGTTATATTCCAACTAGGACGTGTTTGCAGTTCCTCTAAACTACTGAGATTGCTCTTGCCCTAGGGCCTTTGTGTGTGTTTTCATATTCCTGGCACTTTCTGCCTCCTCCCTCCACCCCCTTTACTTCTTTCAGCCTAAAGGCAATTCTACAGGAAGCTCTTCCAGGCACCCCATCCCCTCCCCAAGTCTGAGTAAGTGCTCTCCCTGCAGGCTCTCATAGCACTCTAGAATTCCCTTACCATAGCACAAATCACACTGCATTGAAACCTCTGGTTTGCATCAGTCATAATCCTCCATACAATGCAGGCATCTTGAGGACAGGGAACACCCCTGGGTTCCTGGTTCGTAACAGGAGTGCAATAAAGATCCACTAGATAACAGAATGAATGAAATCTAAAAGTTCATATAAACTCTCAGTGAGCAAATTCGAGAAGAGGATCAGAATTAAGACCTACACTGGAACAGCCTCCATCCCCATGCCAACCTACCACAAGTCCCATTATCTTTGGTGGAAAATGTGTTCGCTCTTACGTGTCAGTACAAGCGGAGAAAGCAAAATGCTCTTTTCTTGTTTATTGGGAACTCTAAGACCATGCCGTACATCTTTAAGTGGAACAAAGTTAATGCGCGAACAGCCAATCAGACTCAAATCATAGGTCTCTTCACAAAGTAGTACAAATTCGATGGTTTTATTGGGGGGAAAATGAGACAAGAAAGCATTCTCTTTTACCACAATTATTCCAATATTTTAGGTGAAAGGGTTTTTGTGTGTCTAGGAAAGACTGAAATGGTGGGATATTTCTGGAGCGATATTTTTAACACAGCATAAATTAAACCTTTTTGTACCCACATCATTCATTATATGATGTGTTATTCCAGGTTGACGTCTTGCCAGTCTATTATTTTGCAAACCATTACATTATCACAGCTGCTAAGCTGCATAACTTAAGAATTCGGAATACAACAGAGTCTCTATAGTTGAGTGTGTGGTGCTTACATTCTGAATGTATTCATGCAGGGAAGTGTGAGACGTTACCGAAAACACATACAGCAGACGGCTTTCAGTGGATATTTATTACCATTGAGCACAGGCAGCCAAGAACTGTTCAGACAGATCAGTGTATTCACACATATTATTAGCCAGCCCCCTCATCCTGTATGGGGTTTTGTTCCTTCTATAAATATACGCCTCTCTGGAGAAAAAGAACACGGACTATTGGGGACTCCAATTCTCTGGTTCACAGAATACATTGAAGGCCATTTTCCCTGCATTGGTTAGTCCCGTGCAATTTTAAGTGACCCAAACTTGGTGAACCAATATTTATTTTATTTCGTATAGCAGCTTATGTCATGTTAAGCCATTGACTTCTCATCTTGGGCAGAATGACATTGCTTATTGGCTCAGTGTGGGGAAGGAAAGGCTGTCTCTATGGGTACCACTCCAGAGTTTTCATTCCTCAAGCTGGTGTGGAAAGCAGGATTACAAATCGCTATGCAAATGGTCAGGACTCCCAGGCATTTCAGCATCCTATGCAAAAGGACAGCTCTCAGGCTGGGCCTGAAACTCAGCTATGGTTCTCCTCTTTGAATAGTTTGTCCCCTCCTCATGCCTTGCCATTATGCCATGGGTCATGTTAAAGCAGTGCTTTTCAACTTTATTGTTGCCTTGGAAACACTCAAGGAGCTTTTAAAAACCTATCTGTACCCCAGACCATGTACATCACAATCTCTGGGGATAAAATCCAGGCATCAGTATTTAAATCCGCAGGTAATTCCAACATGTAGCCAATACCAGGAACAACTGACCCAAGGAAATAATATTACCTAGATCAATGATTTGGGCAAGATGCTAGCAGAAGGAAATCAGCTAGTTTTTGTGTTTTCTGGTGGCGTCACATAAAAGAGAAATAAATGGGTTGGTTGCGTTGGGTTTTTGGGTCGTGTCATTCTCAATAGGGGGAAAAAACTATTTAGGCTCCTTGAAAGTGGGGTCCATATTCCTGGGACATCCTATGCAGTGCCCAGCACATTGAGGAGAGTCTCTGGATAGTTACCTGAGGCCTTCTGAAGTCATAGAGTCTAGAATTGTGCATGACTTCCTTCCAGGCTATTTAAGATCAAAAACACCCAATCTAGCTTCTCCCGTATGCTTCTTTTCTTGACTGGTGCATGGACAAAATCCCTTTTGTGTGTCTTTCAATCTGCCGTATTGTACACAAAGTCAATCGTGTTCTCAGGAGAAGCAGAAGATAGCTTTCTTCTCCCTCTCTCTTTTATTTTTATTTTTATTTTTTTTTAGGTGGAGTCTTGCTCTGTCACCCAGGCTGGAGTGCAGTGGCATGATTTTAGCTTACTGCAACCTCCCCTTCCTGGGTTCAGGTGGTTCTCCTGCCTCAGCCTCTTGAGTGGCTAAGATGAAAGGCACCCATCACCATGCCTGGCTAATTTTTGTATTTTTAGTAAAGAGAGGGTTTCACCACGTTGGCCAGGCTGGTCTTGAACTCCTGACCTCAAGTGATCTACCCTCTTCCGCCTCCCAAACTGCTGGAATTACAGGTGTGGCCACCATGCCCGCCCAGGGGGAGATCGCTTTCTTTACATGCTTTGAAACAGATCTCTTAGAAACTGCTCTAACATAATGAATATTATCCACCTGTGTAATATAAGACTTTCTTTGAACACATAGTTGAAAGCAATCCACTTTTATTTGTATTTACTCATCAATGAGCCTCAGAGGATAATATTATCTATCCTACATCCATAAAACAATATAGAAGAAACTGCCATGGATCTTTATTCTAATCTGGGAGTGGATGAACCACATCTATGGATTTTAACTTCTTTTTTGTCTTCTCTTACTGGTCACTCAATAACTAATACTTCAAAGGACCTGGTCAGTTTTTGTACTAGGTCTCAGAGCCTAACACAATGCCTGGGATAAAGATAGCATAAACAAATATTCATTGAGTGAATGCTGACTACCTGAACAAAAAGAATCCCTTTGTGGTTATAAATTCAAGCCTTTAATAAAACAGAATTGTCCTTCAAGGGCCAGGGTTGTAGTGTGCCTGTGCTTGTAGGCAGATGAACATCTGTGTCATCATCAGTCCTAACAGTGACTTATTTCTTTTTTTTTTTTTTTTTTTTTTTTGAGACTGAGTCTGGCTCTGTCGCCCAGGCTGGAGTGCAGTGGCCGGATCTCAGCTCACTGCAAGCTCCGCCTCCCGGGTTCACGCCATTCTCCTGCCTCAGCCTCTTGAGTAGCTGGGACCACAGGCGCCCGCCACTTCGCCCGGCTAGTTTTTTGTATTTTTTAGTAGAGACAGGGTTTCACCATGTTAGCCAGGATGGTCTCGATCTCCTGACCTCATGATCCGCCCGTCTCGGCCTCCCAAAGTGCTGGGATTACAGGCTTGAGCCACCGCGCCCGGCCAACAGTGACTTATTTCAAGATGCTAGCTCTTCTTGGTGAACTGGATCATGAAAAACTTCCTAAAATCCTACTACACAATTAACACCTTTGGGTTCATGGGCAATCCCTTTTCTTCCCAATCAGAACCCTTGTGGGGATATTTTGAGATAGGACAGAAATATGCTTCTGATCATTTTCCTACATTGCTTGCTGACTTTTCTCAAAAATGCCAAAGGCTTCCAAGCCTGGCTGGCTTTCCTCATTAACGTTCCCATAGAGTGATTGGAGGGATTGGAGGGATCACTTAGATACAATTTCTCCAATCACTCTATTGGAACATTAATGAGGAAAACCATTAAGGGTTAGAAGTATATTGATCATTGCTAGAAAATGCAGTCCTAGTCCAACCACACAGAATCAGTCCCAGAATACAGATATCCCTGGGAATGGAATACCCAGGACGTAACGTTTTATTTATTAATTTCACAGTTTTTTTTTAACATCGACTACATGCCAGACAGTGTTCTAGGCCCAAGAGACACAGCTAAGTCTGTCTGCACTTTGTGAACTGGTAATATGTCAAGTGGTGATAAGTTCTCTAAAGAGAAATAAAGCAGAGTAAGGAGCAGGGGGAGACGGAGCGTGCAGCATGGTTATATAATGTGGCTCTCAAGGAAGGACAGGGAGGGAGCTGGGAGTAAGCCATGCAGCCATGTGGGGAAAGAACATCCCACGCAGAGGGCACAGCAAGTACAACAGGCCAGAGGCAGGAGTGGACTTGATGTACTTGAGAGATGGCAAGCGGGTAGCTGGAGCAGAGTGAAGGGGTGAGATGGGGGTGGGCAGAAGTGATGATAAAGACTCAGAGACGAGTTAGGAGCCCAGCTGGCACAGGCTGCATAGACCATGAGAATGACCTCTGGGTTTTACTCCGGATAAGACTGAAAAAGATCAGTGGGTCAGGGGCTGAAGGATGACGTTAGCTACTAGGTTGATAGAGAAGAAGGCTGGAATCAGGGTGATGCATGAGGTCACTACTACAATCATCTCAGTGAGAGATGATGATGGTTTAGGCCAGCGGATACCCTGGAGGTGGTGAGAAGTGAATGGACTCTGAATTTATCTGGAAGGGAGAGCTGGAGGGATTTCCTGATGGATTGGGTGTCAAGGGAGAGAGGAAGACAAGAGTCAAGAATGGCCCCCCGAGCAGCTGTAGACTGGAGCTGATGCTTACCAAGACCGGAACCACTGAAGGAAGAGCTGGTCAGCGATGACAGCCTGGGCGGGAGAGACCGGGTTCTATTCCTGATGTGCTAAACTTGAGATAATGAGTAAAAATTCAAATGGAGATATACAGTAGGATGTTAAAAACATATGTTCTGTGTTTGGACGAGAGGTCTGTACTGGAGATAAGGTGTGGACATTATCAGGGGTTCCCTGGAGCTGGCTTGACAGGCTCTCCAGAGCCAATTATGTGATTTCTTCTCAACTCTACATTCAGTGATGACACATGATCCTCTTGAAATGGGCCATGGCAGGAAATTTACACCATGTAAATTGGCAAACATTACAAAGCAGGGCTTTTCGGCCCCTAGAGAGTTGATAACAGTTACACGGTCTCCAGTATACCACTGGAAATTGGCATTTAAAGCTAGAGGACTGTATGATAACATCTGGGGAATGTGCGTGGATGGAAAGAAAAAATGTCAGCAGACTGGACCCGAAGCCACTCGAAAGCTTAGAGATGGGCTCCATGTGGTGGAACCAGCACTGGAGACGAACAGGGAGCAGCCAATGAGGCAGAAAGAGGATCCCAGAAGGCCATGATGGATTTTCAAATGCTGCTGATAGTCAAGTGAGATAAGGACTAAGAAATTGCCTTATTGCAGCATTGTCATAAAAGATTGCACAAACTGCATGCATCAAAATTGCTTTGTGTTGGCCAGGCATGGTGGCTCATGCCTGTAATTCCAGCACTTTGGGAAGCAGAGGTGGGCGGATCACTTGAGGTCAGGAGTTTTGAGAACAGACTGGGCAACATGGCAAAACACCGTTTCTACAAAAAAATTAGCCAGGCATGCTGGCACTCACATGTAGTCCCAGCTACTCAGGAGGCTGAGATGGAAGACTTGTTTGAACCCAAGAGGTCGAGGTTGCAGTGAGCCAAGATTACACCACTGCAGTCCAGCCTGGGTGACAGAACAAGATCTTATCTCAAAAAACAAAACAAAACAAAAAGAATTGGCATGTGTTTCTAAGTACAGTACACGGATCAGATGCCTGGTCTCCACCTCAGATATCCTAAACCTAATTCTCTGGGGCACATAACAGAGAAGACAGTTTGAGAAGCAGTGCCTTAATATATAGTGTTCCAGAAAAACAGGCACAGTGGGGTAGAAAAAAGAACACAGCAGAGGAAGTGAGGAATAATGCAGATGGGGAAAAAAGAGAAACTCTTAGAACAATTTTTACTCACCGTAAGGTCGGTCCTGGACAGAGAGAGCAGTTAGAGACCATGGTGGAGACTCAGGGGGTGAAGATTATTACCACTAAGGCCAAGAGTGAGTTTCCTCCCTATAGCACTGAAGAAATAGCATGTTCCTATTTTAAATGTCCCTCCCTTCAGCCACTATGTCAGAAAAATGGAACTGCAATTATCTCTTAGGTCTTTTCCAGCTCCCACGACCCCTGCAAAATAAAGGCAAGAGAGAAGATGAAAGACCAATTTCAGTATCATCTATTGGTCACCCATGTCAAAAGCCAGCACTCTACCCTTAAGTCTTAGGTGTCCTAAGACCTAAGGAAAGGAAAACCTGTTTTGTTTTGTTTTGTTTTGCCTCTGAATTTTTTTTTCAATGGCTTGATGTAATCATGGGTCAGGGCTTCATAATCCAGCTGAGTCCCAGAATAGATTTAGAAAGTATAACTTAGGCTGGAGCCAGCCATCAACTGCCCGAAATGAGCAAGTCCTAATTTGAACTCTGAATGTGGGGATCGACATCTATTCTGTAAAAGCAAATGGATTTGGATCAAATTGGAAGAAATCACATCTAAGATCTCGTGGAGTTCTTTTTTTTTTTTTTTTTTTTTTGAGACGGAGTCTCGCTCTGTCGCCCAGGCTGGAGTGCAGTGGCCGGATCTCAGCTCACTGCAAGCTCCGCCTCCCGGGTTTACACCATTCTCCTGCCTCAGCCTCCCGAGCAGCTGGGACTACAGGCGCCCGCCACCTTGCCCGGCTAGCTTTTGTATTTTTTAGTAGAGATGGGGATTCACCGTGTTAACCAGGATGGTCTCGATCTCTTGACCTCGTGATCCGCCCGTCTCAGCCTCCCAAAGTGCTGGGATTATAGGCTTGAGCCACCGCGCCCGGCCTCGTGGAGTTCTTATAGAAGAAAATCCTGCTATTCTCTGCCAATTAGGCTGAAGGAAAGTAAGTAACAGCCACTGACACTAGGAATGAAGTCTTCCGTGTAGATCCTATCCAGAAAAGGCTTTCTATGTGGGGTTCACCCAGTCACATTATGCCTAGTTCCCCTTCCCCAGCCTCTTAGTTTTCCTTTAAGTAAGAAGGTACCCCTGACACATGAAATTCACATCAGTGAAAGAGAAGTTTTAAAAGCAGACAAGTGTACAGGGGCCCTCCCACGAGTCTGTGCCGATGCTTGTGAATTTGCCTATTTTGTTACCAAAGTGAAATTTGTGTGCCTGGGTGTAGATGAGCAGAGTCACCAGGGCTCTGCAAAAGCTCTTCCCCTGCAGGGGCAGTGACAGCCTTGCTTTGTCACTGGCCTGGTACATAGGTGCTGGGTCCACCCATGTAGGCAGCAATGCGGGTATCACCTTCTGGAATGACTGTCATTAAGATGTTACTCCCATATGCTATGGTCTGAATGTTTTTGTTCCTCTGAAATTAATATATTGAAATCCTATCCCCTAAAGTAATGACATTAAGAGATGGGGCCTTTGGGAGACAGTTAGTGCCCTTATGAAAGAGGCTCTAAAGAGCTCAGTAGTCCCTTCCACCATGTGAGGACACAGGAAGAAACGTTTGCCTGTAAGCCAGAAAGTGAGCACTCCCCAGGCACCGAATCTGCCTTGATATTAGACTTTCCAGCTTCCAGAACTATGAGCAATAAACTTCTGTTGTTTGTAAGCTCCCCAGTTTATGAGATTTGTTACAGCAGCCTGGAGAGGCTAAGATGCCATCCTTAAAGGGAGGACAAGGAGAGGGAGCTTCCCCCCCTGCTGAGCCCCAGCTTTGGGTTGTCAAGTAGCAGAGCATTTAGGGAGAGGAGCTCATTAAGAAAAAAAAGCAGTCTGGAAATTCATACGGGCACTTGTCGATTTGAAATCAACAACATAGAATGGTGTGCTCATGTCAGCCTGCTGGTCAACTTGGCTTCCTGAAGACCAATGCCCAACGAGCAGAACCCCAGCTCCCAAGGCCATGTGCTGTGCCATTCAACATTACTCTCAGGGGGCAATACCTAGATCCTATGGCTTTTGGTTCAGCCATAGCGTCCATCTACAGATCATCTTGTGTTTGTTTGAGACAGAATCTTGCTCTGTTGCCCAGGCTGGAGTGCAGTGGCACAATCTCAGCTCACTACAACTTCCACCTCCCGGGTTCTAGTGATTCTTGTGCCTCAGCCTCCCAAGCAGCTGAGATTACAGGTGTGCACCACCACACCCAGTTAATTTTTGTATTTTTAGTAGAGACAGAGTTTCATTATGTTGGCCAGGCTGGTCTCAAAACTCTTGGCCTCAAGCAATCCACCTGCCTAGGCCTCCCAAAGTGCTGGGATTACAGGTGTGAGCCACCACACCCAGCCCAGATCATCTTATTTGCCCTTCATTTCTAGTAGAATCTCTGGTTGGGTGTTCTGTGTTCTCCTTGATGGCATTAAACCAACATACCTAATAGCAAACAAAAATATCTTCAGGACTCTGTGACTTCCTTTTTTCTTCTGTCAGTGGCCTTAAGGTGGCATAAGAGAAACCTGTCTCATGTATCTTAGAGCAGTGCCCGTGCAGGGCAAGGAAACTTCTGTCCTTACGAGATCCAGCAGTCAGAAATTGGCTATGTTTGAGAGTTGATTTCTATCTCAGATGGTACCCGCAAGACCTAATCCTTTATCTTATCTCCTGGGGCTGTGCTTCTGTTCACTCCAGTTATCTTAGAAAATACAACCTCATAGAGGCATTAGAAACTCAAATGTGTATAAGAGCCAGGCAGGGAAAAGAAATGTAGCAGGAAAATACGGAAAGAGGCACATTGCAAACTGGAAAACTCCTGCCCCAGCAAGTGAGGCCAGCTACTACTCAGCTGTGCCACGGGAAAACCGAGGCTGGCGTTGCTGGATCTTCTAACTTTTCAAAAGAAAATGTATGCATTGTTCTTATATTTAAGGAAAAAATGCATATGTCTGTATGTGTGTATGTGAGAGAGTGAGAGATATGAAATATCTCCATTTTTATAATTCAACTTTAAAAAATAACATTGCATAAGATGCCAGTTTTCAATTCCTATAAGAAAAAGAGCACTGTCCTGAGGCAGGCAGATGACCTGAGGTCAGGAGTTCGAGACCAGCCTGACCAACATGGTGAAACCGTGTTTCTATGAAAGTACAAAAAAATTAACTGGGCATTAGCCAGGTGTGGTGGCTCACACCTGTAATCCCAGTACTTTGGGAGGCCGAGGCAGGCAGATCATGGTCAGGAGATTGAGACCATCCTGGCCAACATGGTGAAACCCCACCTCTACTAAAATACAAAAACTTAGCTGGGTATGGTGGTGGACACACCTGTAGTCCCAGCTACTCAGGAGACTGAGACAGGGGAATCGCTTGAACCTGGGAGGAAGAGATTGCAGTGAGCCAAGATTGCATCACTGCACTCCAGCCTGGTGACAGAGTAAGACTCTGTCTCAAACAAACAAGCAAACAAAAAAATAGCTGGGCATGGTGGCACACTCCTGTAATCCCAGCTACTGGGGAGAATTGCTGAACCCAGGAGGTGGAGGTTACAGTGAGCCAAGATCGCATCACTGCACTCCAGCCTGGGCAACGAAGCAAGACTCCATCTAAAAAAAAAAAGGACTGTCCCACCCTAAATATCTACATATTCTCCCCTGCCCCAGGCTTGATTTTCACAAAAAGGAAACATCTTGCTACAAAAAAAACTAATCTTAAAATATATCCTCAGGCCCTCCAGCTGCAGCATAATCCTAGTGCTAAATCGGAATATTATTTTTTTTAAAAAAACCTCTTCTGACAGGTCAAATGCAAATTTTTAAAATACATTTGAATACATTGAATACACGTCCTCCAGCTAGAGGAAACAGGAAGATGACATTCTCTTTGCTGAGAGCATGGTTTTATTACTAAGCAAGAGGACTAGAACTTCAGAAGCAACTGAACCTCTGGCCTAATTACTGCCTGAGAGAACAACTTACTAATAGCATCAGCAACATTCTTTTGTTTTGGGAAGATATTCTCCATTGATGGTGTTAAAGCAGAACAAATCAAGCAATTTCAGCCAGTAGAACAATCACCCTACCACCTAGAGGTACATTTTGCTAACTCAAATTTGCAGACCAGCAGTGTGTGGTCCTACTGAAAACTAGAGATTGCACAAGAGCCAAACAGAGGTTGTTTTATGATCAAGGTGGCTGACTGGTAACAGCTGAACTAAAACCTTTCAGTTCTAAATCATCTCTTTCATGCTGGATGGAGTGGAATTCTGGGGTCCCAGCCAAGTCCTTGAGCAAGAACTTGAACGGATTCACAGCTCCTTTTCTGATTGAAACTCTTTCTAAACCCTGAGGAACTCTGGATCTCACCACGATGTCAAATAGAATGATGTCCCTGCCGGGGGAGGAGGCAAGTCAGGCTTCTCCAGTGTCCTTCCTAAACAGCAGCTCACACTTGTCACGTCCACAGCAGAGATGCAGCTCTTCAGTTTTAAACTCAGGATGTCCTCACTTCTGTCTCTTGCTGGATAAGGCAACTATGAATTCACTACCTTCTAGCACTTAGCCAAAAGTCCCGTAGGGACGTTGGACACCCAACAGAAGCAGATCAGTGGATATGTTGGCTAGTCATTACTTTAATCCCTTTACATTAGATTTTTTTTTTTCTTTTTTGAGATAGAGTCTCACTCTGTTGCCCAGGTTGGAGTGCAATGGCACAATCTTGGCACACTGCAACCTCCGCCTCCCGGGCTCAAGCAGTTCTCCTGCATCAGCCTCCTGAGTAGATGGGATTACAGGCATGCACCACCATGCCTGGCTAATTTTCATATTTTTAGTAGAGTTTCACTACGTTGGTCAAGCTGGTCTTGAACTCCTGACCTCGGGTGATCCGCGCACCTCGGCCTCCCAAAGTGCTGGGATTACAGGCGCGAGCCACCACGCCCGACCTACACCAAATCCTTATTAAGTTAAATAATCAAATATCAATATACTTCGGCTGCATTTTCTCAACGCCCTGCTGAAATTATTTTACAAAGTTAAGATTTAATTCCTTTCTATTGAGGGCTGATGTTTAGTATCATTTTGTTTTGAATGCGCTGTGACCTATTCCCGACCTGGACTGGGTCTGGCCATGTGACCTGAGACTTAGGCAGGACATGGAGGTGGGTGGGCAGCACCCATGGCCAGGCATGGGAGTTTGCTGGAGGCAATGAGCCCGAAAGTGAGCCCCCAGACAGGCTAAAGACTCATGAGTCCGGTTAGTTGTGTCAAATGTAGCTGGAGAATCAACAAAGAAACAGGTGGAGACCAGAGAAATCAGAGGAGAAGAAACCAATGTAAAGCAGAGGTAGAAGAAAGTGTTTGTAGAAACCCCTTGAACCACTGGCATAGCTCCAGGCATGTCTAGGCATAGCCTGGGCTATTGGCAGAGATTAGGTGGATAGGATGGTATCTTAGTATCATCTTGCTGAGAAAGCCAGCAGAAGAAACATCTATAAACACGCTTCTGAGGCTTTTTCAAAATGACCATTGAAGATCTTGCTCCTTATGTTACTCAGTGCTTTTTATATATTCCACTCCATTAATTCCTTTCAGAAGATAATAAGAAGTATGTGATTCAATGTACTTACCTTTTTACCTTTGCTGCCAGGAAACTCAAAGCTAAAGTTGAGGCAACCTCAGTAACTTGCTCATTCTGGATGCCTTTTCATACTTTTATTTTTTTCCTTCTTTTTTTCTGTTTTAGATTACCCTTAATTTTCTAGTTTACCCTCATGTTCCATGTAAATATGTGCACATATGTCGTGCCCCTGCCAAGCAGCATGGAGTCCTATAACTTTCTCTTCTGTGTGTGTTATTTTCTGTAAGGGAAACCAACACAATGGAAATGTAGCCATGGAGAGTGAAAAATAGAACAAAGTATGCTACTTCCCTTCTCTTGGCAGAATGCATTGTCCCAACAGGTGTATCAAAAATGCTTCAAGGTAAGCCAAGACATAGGAACATTGTGCTCTGAACAAGGTGGTTCTTTTTTTCCCAGAAGGAAATGAATTCATTTGGAATGTCAGGCCCTGACAGAACAGAGCCACTCCATTCCACCCCATTGTGTCCTGGGAGTACCCAGGGACTTGGTGCAGTCCCTAGAGGCAGTGGTAGTTTACAGGCATTCCTGGGAAGAGCAGAGCGGGGGTCCCTGTTGGAGGAAAGCAGGTGCACACTGTCCTTCGGAATCTCCGCGCCTGACGCTGACCTTCATACAAGCTGCAGCTATGCCTGGGGGATGACGGTTCTGCAGAGTCCAAACTCACAAGGATAAGGGCTGGAAAAGAGGCTTTGCTGGTTTTCTGTTCCCACCAGGATGTTGGAAGCCTCCTTTTTGTCCTTTTCATTTTGCTTCTTTTTTTCTTTTCGTTTCTAAATGTTGCTGTCAGTGGACTCAGCTGAACGCTATCAGATGCACAAATAACAATAGCTTCCTGGGAACGATTTGCTGCTGAGGGCCATGGACCAGTGCCAAGAAGCCCAGGCACGCCAAGAACACTGTTTGAGGAAAACCGCAACTTTCAGAGAGCAGCTTCAGGATAATTGTTCAATTCCATTAGGGATTCTGGCTCCGAATCCACCTCAGAACCTGGCCCCGGTGTCTCCTCCAGGGGAACTTAGAGGTCCCCGTTCCATACCTTGGCTGGCTTTCTGTTTGATTTGTTTAATTTTCAAGAACCGTCGTTACTGGAACCTTGTATCTGATTGTGGTGTTCATGGAAAGAAAAACGGGAACAAGAGCTGAGACAGTGAGGTTTCCAGGGTGGGTCAGGTTGACTCACAGAGGCAGAAATAACAGATTCCCAAATGCGGATGCTGGCACTTACACGTTTCTGAGAGTTTCCGATCTGGAGATCTGAGAGGTCACCGTCCTAGGGCTTGTCAGCCTCGCCAGGCTGCTGGGGCTCCTGTTGTTCTGCTCAGAGTCCAGGAAGCAGATCGGGCTCCCTCATGACAGCCTCAGGCCGAGATGTTCCTGCAACGGAAGGTTTCCCGGGCAGGCTTCGCTTCCATCCTGGAGTGAGTTAACCGGGTCAGCCAGGGTCAAGGAGCAGATATCAAGTTACACATTTTCCTCCCTCCTTTCCTAGCACACCCCCAGAGGTGCCCCACAAGGAAGGCCAGGAAGGAAGCGCTCCCGACCAACAGACAAGCCAGGCCAGGACCCTGGAAAGAAGAGGAAGGCACGTCCCTGGGCCTTCTCAGTCCCCACTTCCTCCTCCTTCCTTCTCCCACATTCCCCTCCGGATGGGTCTCACTCTCCAAGAAAATGGCCAGGAGCAAATCCAGGCAGAGACGGAAGTTACCGAGACCCAGAAGGCCCAGAAGCACAGCCAAGAATAGAAAGTACCTTTAATGAGCTCTTTCTGTGTGCTTAATCTATGCAGATACTTTCTCCTCTGATCCTTGCTGGGAGCAGCCCTTTGAGGTTGGCTCTTATTCCTAACCCCACTTTCTAGAAGAGGAAAACAGAGGATAGAGAGAGATTAAGTCATTTGTCCAGGGTTACGCAGCCAGCAGTGGTAGATCCAGGATTTGAACCCAGGTAGTCTGACCCCAGAAAACTCCCCGGAGGGAATCTAAATGGGGGTCTAACCTAGAGTGAGACCCTTGGAATCCAAGCGGCTGAGAAAAGTGTCCTTTTAGAAAGGAACTCTAGGTCAGGTTGCCAGATTCAGCAAATGAAAATACAGGATGCCCGGTTACATCGAATTTCAATAAACAACGCATCATTCTTTCGTCTGAGCATGTTCCATGGAATTTGTCTGAAATTCAAATGTAACTGGGTGTCCTGTATTTTATCTGGCAAATCTTAACTATAGGGCCACTCCCTCTCTCTGCCCTCTGTCTTGTCTTCCTCTCATCGTCAACAGGCTGTTTCCCTGCTTTCTTCCATTTCCCCTCTGATGCCCATCTCTGGGATGTCTGAGCTGCACCTGTCCATGTATTCTTATTTAAAATCAATTATTGGCCGGGCGCGGTGGCTCACACCTGTAATCCCAGCACTTTGGGAGCCCAAAGAGGGTAGATCACGAGGGAAAGAAATTGAGACCATCTTGGCCAACATGGTGAAACCCTGTCTCTACTAAAAATACAAAAATTAGTTGGACATGGTAGGAGGATGAGTCAGGAGAATCTCTTGAACCCGGGAGGTGGAGGTTGCAATGAGCCGAGATCGCGCCACTACACTCCAACCTGGCGACAGAGAGAGACTCTGTCTCAAAAAAAAAAAAAAAAAAATCAATTACTAATGATCATCTAATATCACCTGAGCATCCATAATATGCAGGGCTTGTTCGTTCAGAAGAATCAACATGGTAGCCTCTGGGCTGGTAGGTGTTAGGGTGCAACATAATCAAAAGCACCGGGGACCCCTGATACCCACTCAGAGGCAGAAGTCACTACCACTAAGACACAGTGTGGGATAGGAGGTGCCACTAGGGGGCTGGAAGACTGAGACCCCCTCTGGTCAACCAGAGTTCTGCTTCTAAGATATTTCCTATGTCCCCACCAAATATTTCATTGGGAAAAGGTTTCCATAACTGACACACACAAAAAGAAGTTATTGAAAATCACTGTTCTAAAGCACACCTTCTAAAACGTCAGTTTATAATGGAATCACCTGGGGTTTTGTCAAATGCAGATGCAGTCTGCATTCCTCCAAGTTCCCATGTAGTTGCTGATGCTGGAGCCCATAAAGGGCATTTTGAGGTCAAGGATCTAAAGTATCCTCTCTGATGTCCATGCTCATAGGTTATTTTTCTTTTTCATCTTTGTTTCAGATAGGTAGGTAGGTAGATAGATAGACAGATGGAAAGGCAGATAGATCTCTATATAAATCTATATAGAGATCTTTCTGTCATCCATCTATCCATCCTTCTGTTCATCTATAGAGATCTGTCTATCTATCTAACCATCGATCTGTATCTATCCATCAATTCACTCCTCCTCTGTTGTGTATAACTATTAAATAAGTGGGCCTGAGACACTGCTTTTGCTTACTGTCTGATCAGACTTTTTTTAATTTTCTAGCATATATCAAATGTGCTTGTTTCTGTTAGATTGAGAGTCTTTTAAAAAAGAAAAACTGAAGTGTTTATTTTTTGGCCACAGATGTCGAGTGCTCCTGGTTTAGAGTGATTTATTTTTTTCTCTTCCTTTACAGTTGTGACCTAGTTAATTGTAGGTGGGAAGCAAACTCTGAAATCATTAGGCTTTCTGCTTTGCTTAGAAATCTTGTTCTGTTAAATTGTAGGATGTCTTCTTTAATAACACCAAGTCAGGTCTCAGGATCAGCAAATTTTTGTGCTTTGTGCATCGAGCTAAAGAAAAGTGTGTCCCCTGCAGTTTCCTCGTGGTCGGGGAGGAGAGATGGATGAGTAAATGACCCATGGATGAGTCACTCATTTCTAAAAAGAGTAGAAATGCTCTCTGTTGGCTGCAGACCGTAACCTCTGCATATTCTGGTCTCCCATCCAGAGACAAAGGAGGGAGTGATCAGGGTCTCGGCTTGGCTGCTGGTTCCTGACGTTGGGCGAACTCAAGTACTGAAATATCACATCATTAAGAAACGACTTTAATGTAGAAATAAATGCATGCTGCTAATATTCAGGCGTTTCAAGTCTGTAACCAGGCCCTCATGGCGGAAAGAGACATCCTGTTACTTTAAACAAAATATTTCTTTTCACTATTTAACTTTTTCAGGGGAGGGGTGGGAAAAAGTTGGGTGGACGTTTCTTAAGTGTCGATTTTCCATTCTGCATATGGGGAAAGGATCATTTATTAACCCCTTCCATGGGACAGTTGCTTTGCTGGGGTGTCTTTTCCTTTTTTTTTTTTTTTTTTTTTTTTTTTTGAGACGGAGTCTCGCTCTGTATCCCAGGCTGGAGTGCAGTGGCCGGAGCTCAGCTCACTGCAAGCTCCGCCTCCCGGGTTCACGCCATTCTCCTGCCTCAGCCTCCCGAGTAGCTGGGACTACAGGCGCCCACCACCTCGCCCAGCTAGTTTTTTTTTGTTTTTTTTTTTTTTTGTATTTTAGTAGAGACGGGGTTTCACCATGTTAGCCAGGATGGTCTCGATCTCCTGACCTCGTGATCTGCCCATCTCGGCCTCCCAAAGTGCTGGGATTACAGGCATGAGCCACCGCGCCCGGCCCTTTGCTGGGATTTCTATCCCATGATAATTCAGAGGTAAAGTGGCAGAGCTTTTGAAGCCGTGTGAAAATATGAAGCTCTAAACATTAAGTACAGTGATGGACACAGCTTGATTCTATTTCTCTCAATCACCCTAAGTCCAAGAATTAAGGGTGATCTACGAGCCTAGATCTATGAGATCTATGAGATCTGAGAGCCTAGATCTATGGCTCTCAAAGTGTGGTCACAGAGCCAGAACTCTGTGACCAGCCTCTCCTGGTAACCTGTTTGAAATGCAAATTCCCAGGCCCTGCAGACATATGTTTTTCCATGCCCTGCAGGTGATTCTGATGCAGGTATGAGAACCACTGACCGAAACCCCTAGGTTCCATTGTGAATTGAAGAACTCATCTGCAAGCCGCCGAGACCTGGTGATCTAGGGGTCTATAGCAGCGGTTCTTCTCCTTGGCTGTACCCTAGAAACCCTGAGATGCTTCTCAAAAAGAACAATACTGAGTGCCTCCCTCAGGGCAATAAAATCAGAATCCCTAGGGGTGGGGTGCAAGGAAAAGCTTTTCATGAAACTTCCCACAGGACCCCCATGTGATACCCTGGGACCATAGGAAGGGAAGACCCAGGTGGGAGAGGGTTGCTGCCCTGGGTGTAATGTCTATGCCCACGGAAGGGAGCCTGCAGTCACTGTGCAGAATCCAAGCAGCCCCTAGAAACTCTCAGTTCTAGACAACAGAGATGACCAAAGCCACAGGTGGCTGCAGTGTCGGAACAGTGGGACTTGGGAGGGGCTTCGTTTGGAGCCAGTTGGTGGTGTCCTGCCAGACTGCACTTCCCCATCCCTCCCAGCTGCAGGTGTGAAAAGCTGCCAGCTTGCTCAGTTCCTAAATTAGCATCGGTCAGGTCAGGGCAGGCAGACTTCTAGAGGGTGGCTGTATCCAGCCAGCAGCATCTACCTGCTCTAAAGCTTGTGTCAATGGCTTACGATGGGCCAGGGGCCTTCCTGTGCCCTAGGCTGTGGTGGTTTCTTCCCAAACCCACACCAAGCCAGTGGGCTCGTGCCTTCAGCCTGGACCTGTTTGGAGACTGGAGCCTGCCAGGACTGCGGTGCTGGCTCTTGCTAGTCCTGCTCCCAGCTCAGGGCCCTTCTTCACATCTAAAAGGATCCTATTCTCTCTCCAGCATCCCAGCCTTAGCATATGCCCGGGTTTCCAGGCTCTTAGGCCTAACCTGAAATCACACCCACTCCCTGAAGGCCACCTACATTCAAGAAGATTTCAATGAATCTAGAGCCAGAATCAGCCTGCAGCCACCCACCCCTCAAACCACCCGAGGCCAGAGGGGTGTGCTCAGCAGGCACCCTCCATTCCAGCCTCCTTCCCTGTCCCCTGGCCCTGAGTAGAGAGCCCAGCTGACCTTACCACCAAGGCCCCAGGGTCCCGATGAACAGATCAGCCAGCCCCCAGTGTGCAGGTGGAGGGACACCTGAGGGCGAGGCTGGGGCCTAGGGGCCAAACATATGAGCCTGGCTTCAGAGCCGGGCTGCCACTCCAGCCTGGACGAATGCAAACCAAGCAGACAGAGGAAAGGTCAGGGTGAGCCGGCCACCTGGGGAGTCAAAGGAGCACAGGGTTACCTGAAACCCACCCCAGCAGGGCTCATAAGGCTAAGCGAGTCCTAGATGTCAGCAGGCATGTCTGTGGGCAGCGTCCGTGCCTGCCTCAGGAGCGGAGCAAGCGCTGCCTGCAGCAGAAATAGTAGGTGGGAAAGATCATTATCTAACAGTATCTAACAGCACAAAGCTTCCCCCAAATTACACACAGGATCGCCATGGGATTCAGCAATGTGACTCCTGGGTAAATCCCCAAAGGAATGGGAAGCAGGGACTTGGGGAGATATTTACACACTCTTAGTCATAGCAACTTTAGTCACAGTAGCCAAAAGGTAGAAACAGCCCAAGTGCTCACTGATGGATGAATGTGGTCTCCCCATACAATGGAACATTACTCAGCCTTGAAAAGGAAGCGAATTCTGACACATGCTATACCACGGATGAACCCTGAGCACCTTATGCTGAGTGAAATAAGCCAGTCACAAAAAACAAATACTATTAATATATGGTTCCTCTTATACAAGTTATGAAGAATTGTCAAACCCATAGGGACAGAAAGCAAAATAGAGTTACCAGAAGATGGAGAGGGGAGGAATGGGAAGTTACTGTTTAATGAGTACAGAGGTCAGTTTTGCAATCCGAAAAACTTCTGGAGACAGCTGCACAACGCTGTGAATATACTTAATGCCACTGAACTGCACATTTAAAAATGGTTAAAATTGTAAAGTCTGTATTATGCATATTTTACCGCAATAAAAATAGATCAGTATCTGGAACTGAGAGGGTTGGGGGTTGGATGCCCGCAGGTAGGTGCTTCTATTCGTCACACGTGGAATGAGGAAGGGACTGTTGGTCTGGCCACAAGGGGAAACTTCACCCCTGGGCTCTGGACGCACATTTGACTTCTTGGAACCCCGCCATGTGGGTCGCTCTAGTTTTAACACTATGAAATCTGCCCTGGGTTTTTGCCCTCTGCAGAGAGCACCCCAGGACACTTCACCATCGTCAGACTCAGGAAGGGGTCCTCAGACTTGCCCCTCATGGGTGGCTCACTACAAAGATGCCTAGTTCCAGCTGAGTGACGAGCCGTGGTTCCCAGTTGTTTTTTTTTGTTTGTTTGTTTTTGAGACGGAGTCTCCCTCTGCCACCCAGGCTGGAGTACAGTGGCACAGTCTCGGCTCGCTGCAACC